TTACGCCAATATATCTTTAACTATTATAGTCATCGATGCTTTCCGATTTCTAAAAGTGATATCATGCATTATAATATAATATATCTTGCCAATGTTTATCCAAGGTTGGTCCTATATTGGCATATTATTTTACGCCAATATATCATTAATTATTATAGTCAACGATCATCGTTGAACGATGCTTTCGGATTTCTAAAAGTGATATGATATGTAACGATACACGCAACCGACTACCACCCTTATTATTTAGCATCAAATGAGTGTAAATAATAACAAGGGTAATATGCGATTTCTTGTCTTATTAGCAATGAAATTCGTTATTACGTTAATAAAGCTCAAGCTGATCATTTTAGCACACGATACAAACGATCCCAGTAAACACAGAACTCTCGGGAAACATTCGGCCAACATTCGGCACTATCGGGAGACTGGTGGCATAATTTGCCGTGTCCGGGATCACTTACGGCCCGCATACAAACTCCCCAGTAGGCATTTTTCCAAATTCGGTTAAAATGCGGCCCGATTTCGGCAAACCAGTAACCGGGATCCACCCTTCGCGCCCGAATGCTATCCGAAAAAGTATAGCCCATGAACGGGCTTGCTACTTTCGGGCCGTCTTCGTTAAGTACGCTGATACCCGCTCTCCGCATTTTAAGTCTTTGGCATTCGTAGTCCCAAACACAGATCATAGAGGTCGCAAACACTTTACTTTAGTAGTTTAGCTGAACCACGTGAACGAAGTTTCAATGTTAGGTTATATTCCAGAAAAGCTTTTTAAGGATTGTTCAGGAAAGTGTTATGTTGTTTTCCTTTAAAGAAAATAGTTTATAAATTATCCATATACTATAAACCACAATCCACATTGTGAATTGTGCTATAAACGATATACTTACCGTGTTTTGGTGCCGGTTTGTGTTTTTAGTGACAAACTAGTTTTGTGTGTAGTTTTACGTTATAATTTTGTTTATAAGTTTTATTATAGTTTGTAAAATGGCAGAATCAAGTGAAGAGTAAGTTGAAACAACATAATTTATTATATTTTGCCATTTCATTGTTAGTCTTAGGTATTTGTTAAGGGTATTTTCAGGTTTATCGTTTATTTTTGAATTAGGATATTTCTTAAAAGAATTAAGTCAATATGTCTTTTATTAAAAAAGTAAGCAAACGCCACAAACGTCGTGTGCTTAGTGAACAAATGAAATGTTTAATTGAAGATTGTTTATTAACGGATGACAATTTAACAAATAATGCATCGTTTCAATTACCTACAAGTTCTGTGTCTAGTAATAATGACCAACCTTCTTGTTCTAATAGTATAGACATATCAAGCAACACAGCTAGTAATATACCCGAGAATATACCCTTAAATATACCTAAAGAACTACCCAAAACTGATGGGTTTTCGGAGGGTTCTTATATAAATGTTATAGAAAAGGAGGTACCTGAAGTAGAGTGTAGTTTTGTTGATATTTTATTTTTGTTAAATTTTATTTTATTTTATCTGTTTTGTAGAGCAATACCATGTTAAGTTCAAATATATTTTTATCGATTTTTATATTTTTCCATATTTTTTTAATTGTTTCCCTATCACTTCCCTACTAACCACAAGTGGCCCATTGTCGGTTAAAAAACGGCAAAAGGTATCAAAACCGAACGTTAGCCGTATGATATACGCCAGCCATGCCGATAGCATAGAAGCGGGTGGTGGTCCACCGAGTAACCCACTAGCTGACGCAGCGCCTGCATCCATATATCGGGAGAATCCGGCAGAATGGAAAACAAGTATTCTTGCCATCTCTGGCCCGAGAGTCTGTGTGTACTGGGCAATTTACTTATTAAGCAACGTATCGTAACCTTGCCGAAAGCACGGAAGCGGGTGGCGGGCCACCGAGTAACCCACTAGCTGATACCCGCTTATGACTCGGCTTTACGGTAAGTCGGCAGAAAGTCTGCCAGGCGGACATGCCCTACCTACACGCCGCGCCGGCAACCATGTTTCGGGCCGAATCCGGCAGTTCGGAAAAAAGTATTCTCGCCATCTCTGGCCCGCGAGTCCTGTATTTTAGCATTTCATCGTAATTAAGAATAACATAGACGGTACACGACTTGTAACGATACACGTTTGTTTCCAGGATGTAGACCTATACTAGTGGAGCATGAACGGTTTAAGTTTGGGGGTGGCGCAACCGACTACCACCCTTATTATTTAGCATCAAATGAGTGTAAATAATAACAAGGGTAATATGCGATTTCTTGTCTTATTAGCAATGAAATTCGTTATTACGTTAATAAAGCTCAAGCTGATCATTTTAGCACACGATACAAACGATTTTAGCATTTCATCGTAATTAAGAATAACATAGACGGTACACGACTTGTCTTATTGGTAGATTTTTTCAAAGAATTTGGAGGGTACATTTTATATTAAGTAACCCCCCTCTCCCCCTTATAATTTGGGTGGGCATTGTCACCCCCCCGCTTCTACGCCCCTAAGTACCTACTATAAACATTTCATGAAAACAAACGTTTGTCGACACGATCGTGACATATCACTTTTAGAAATCCTACTACGTATACGATAGCCACCTAGTACTTACTATAGTAAGTACTAGGTGGCTATCTTTTTTTCTTTCAATTTCTCCCTCAACTTTCCTAGAGTATAATGTAAAATAACTTCGGGTCAATGCGGATTTCCAATATCGGTTATATAATGTTAAACAACTTCGGGCCAATGTTGGGTTTCAATATTGGACCATGCTAGAAAAAATCTGACGAAAGATATATTGGCCCAATATTATTACGAATATTGGGCCAATATCTTTGTGCTACTGGAGTTACTTCTTTATTAACTGACCTCAAACTATTCTAAAACAATCCTTTGATGGCTAGCCGTCAAAGGATTGTTTTAGAAGTGTGCCGGGAAACCTCGGCTGCCCGATGCACTTTGGTCTATCGGCGGTAATTATAGAGTTAATAAAATAAATCATCTTTTGATAAGTACAGGGTTTACCAACAGCGACTTCTTTTTTGGTTTCAAAATAAAACAAACAATTTGAATGAAAATGCTGTGAATCTTTATTGATATATAAAGTGGAAGGTTTGCCATTTATAAATGAAAAATAATATCATTCAAATGCCCACCCCCAGTACGCCTACATACATCGATTCTTTTGTTAAAATTTGTAATCACATTTTGGCATAACTGAGGCTCTATCTCACGAATGGTACGTTCAATGTTGGCTTTTAACGCCTCAATGGTTAGCGGATTATCCTCATAGACTTGATCTTTCACATAGCCCCACAAGAAATAGTCCAGTGGTGTTAAATCACAGGATCTAGGCGGCCAATTTAATGCAAAGTTACGCGAAATTACTCGATCTGGAAATTTGGTTTGCAATAAATCCGTTGTTTGACGAACGTAATGGTCGGCCAGCTTCAATTCTTGAACCAACTGTACCTTATAAGGTTTTAGAAATAAATCCTTACGCAAAATTTGCCATGTGGTCATTGTCGATAAGCCCAATTGTTGAGAAGGCCGCGGAATGGATAGATTTGGATCTTCTTCAACACTTTCACTCACAGCAGCGATATTTTCAGCTGAACGACCCGGACGAACATGAATTGGAGTTGGTATGTTGTTGGTTGAACCAGTAGATTTTAATTTATCCACCAAATTCCTAATAGCGTTCTCAGATGGCCGACCATGACGGCCAAACATATTAAGAATTTTACGATATGTGGTTTTCACCCAACGACCATTTTCGTTATAGGTTTCGATGATTTTAATTAAAATATTAATACGATTTTCGATTGAAATTGAAGGCATTTTTATAAATGGCAAAGCTTTTACTGACATATATCAAAAAAGTAATTGTCAAAGCTGTCATCTTATCAAAATTTGCCCCTATTGAAAAAAGAAGTCGCCGATGGTAAACCCTGTACTTTCGGACGCTTACAAAGAATAAATTATATTTAAAAAATTTTGAATACTGGTGATTTTTTATTTCATCTAAACCTAGATAAAATATCTGTATAATGTGTATTACTAATCTGACTTTTAAATACTATGATTTGGGGCCTGAGGCTATAGCCGCCAAAGCCCCTCTTAATTCGGGGCTGTTTTTGGACAACAATAATTAAAGACAAGTCGATAAAAGTGTTATCATAACCCCGTTATTTCACATTTTTCATAATAAACGACAGAAACCTTTGGAATTCTAATTTAAAATTTATTAATTAGGTACCCACTTGTCATTAACCCTTAAAATATTTTATTTTAAAATAACCTTTTAATTACAATTTCAATGTTTCTGTCCTTGTTAGGGAATTACGTGAGGCACTTTTCTGATAATTTGGACCCCCTCCCCCTTGGTGAGATGTGGTAGACATCCCCCCTATCCTTCACGTGAGATTTTAGCCTTTAAACTTTCTTTGCGGACAAAAATGATTAATTTTTTTAACCAATTTGAATTAAAGAACATATTTTTTAAACTCAAAATTTGACGTGAGATTTTAAATCACCCCTCCTCCCTTAAAATGAGATTTGGTGACATTTTGCTGGACCCCTCCCCCCATTTTAGTCTCACGTAATTAATGGATGTCCCCTTAGAAGTAGGCATTTATAATAAATTGTTTTTTCTGGGTAGATAAAGTTGAAAAATATAGACGCTTATTTATATTGTTTGGGAGATTTTGGGTGACATCAATGTAATGCATAAATTAATTGACAAGAATTGCTTTTGCGTATTATTGTCCCGGTAGGTAATAATATATGGGCTATAGAAAAAACAATGACGATAAAATTCCATTCTTCTCCCGAAATTAATTCACTAGTAATTTCATCGCTCGTGAATTAATTTGGTCGACGATGAAATAAAATTTTATCGTCTTGTTATTATCGAAATTAAACGTCGAAATATACAGTGTAACCCATGGAGAAAAATACTCTATAACCTATAATATCGATATTTGACAGAAAAAAATGTCTTTTTACATAATAATAAAAAATGGCCATTAAAAGTACATGTTGTACACCAAACCTAATAAAAAACATATCGATATGCTGTGTTATACTAAGTATGTGGGGATTCATTCAATTGGTAAGACATGTTGTTATTTAGACTATTTTGATATATTTAAAAAAATATATTTTTGCAGATGGCAATGGGATTAATGTTTAAATTTCATTCAGTAAACCTTTTGTACGATATGATCGATGATGTGGATGTAACAGACGAGGAGGAGTTTTACAGAGAACTTAATATCTCTTACACAAATGTATTTTTTTAATTACCTATTTTTATTATTATTAAAAATAATAAAAATATATCTTTTAGTATGCAACAAACTGCTTCGTAGTTGGAGTGCTGTATTTCGTGACATTCATAATATCTTACGTTCTTTACCGGAAAACGTTGAAAAAAATAAACAAAAAAAAGCACGATTCGCAATTCCAAAATCAACATTTACAACACCAACAAAATCAACGTCAATCAACAGGATCCGCGTTCCACGAATGGCGTGAACATAAAAGTCATAGAAAAAAAAGTGTTCCTTAGGAATATGTTTTGGGTCCCATTCGACGTCTTAAACTTAATTATAGGACCTGCTGTGATAATGTGTTACGTCTTTCTACTATTGAGTTTCTAGAACTACTAAAGGTCTTAATTAAGCAGAAATAATTATTGAATGCTTTCTGGATTCGTCTTGAAATCGCTGAATTAAAGTGTAAAATAGATTGTAAAGTTATTTATCTGGCGCCTTGCTCGGAATTGTCTATCGAATTGCAAAGAGAGCTGGGAAATAGCCAGAGTATACTCATACACTCATACACTGCGGTGCACAGTGGCTAGATGTTTTGGTTTGTAGATAATAAAGATGATAAATATACATTTTAAGTGGATTTTTTTCTTTTTAACACTTCAAATGTTAAAAGTATAAAAAATACACAAATAACACATCATATTAAATTTTTCGTTTATAATCTTTAAAGAAAATGATTTAAGTAGATACCTACTACTCAAATCTTTTAAATAGGTACTGGGAAATATTTTTTATTATTAGGTATGTTATAAAAATATATAGGTACTCAAAACCAGTAAGAAATTTAGGATTTACTTTAATTATTCATTTTTAAAGCATAAAAAAGCATAAAAAAAAATAAAAAAACAGTTTTTCTTAAAATATACAAAGGTAAACGAGAATTTAAAATAATCTTGTTAAAAATCATATACAATTTTTTAGGATATTGGATTTCCGTCATCACAAAATTGTATAAAAAAGTTTAGGTAATTTATATATTATTATTATTACATAAATAAAACGAAGGCAAGCAATATTTTATAAAAGTGCAGATAATTTTAATCATGGACATGTCCATTGCAGTTAAGGACGACAAGAAAAATTTTTCTTTTTTCTTGCGTTTATTTTATATTGACGTATATCCTAGTAAATTAAGAATATTTTTGACAATTTCGATGCCATACCTATTATATAAAAACTGTCACCTGTCTTGAATTATTCTATTTTTTCCTAAACATGGCAGTCGTATTCCAAGGACCACGAGAGTCCATTTCTATGGTTGTGATTTAATTGTGAATTTTTATGCCATGTAAAATAATTTTCAAATCGATTTTAAGCGAAAACGGTGAATGTTAACGAAGTTCAACAAGATTACCTTTTTATGTGCAAAACTGCAAAATTTTATAATCTGACATCAAATTCTGGTACAAGATACGTACAAAAAGTTAAGGTGGTTTTAACCCCACTTCCTATCAATCTGACCCAAACCTCATGAAATTTTTTAAATTGTTATTGTTACGTCTTATTGGTCATAAAAAGTTTAATTAATTCCCCAAATTTTACTTTTCTATCTTTTGGAGATATTAAATAAAAACCATCTTCAGGGGCTTTTCTTTTGGGGGCTGTAGCTCCCTTAAGAGGCATTTCTTGACCTATGTTTATAGGGACTTTTTTTCTTATTTTAAATCTTTAAAATATATTTATATGGATGGATAAAAATATATAAACCTATAAAACCAATAAAATATTAGAGCAAACCACACCCTGAACTCCAAATGTTTTTGACGCGGCCCAATAAAATACAATGCCAACAAATAAGCTTTGTTTATAAATACTTTCGCATAGCCACTTATTTCGTACCAAATTATTTGAAAAGTTCGTGAATATTGCTTACCCTGCCTCTTATCGTTAAATCGTATTTTATGGCTAGTCCCTTACCAAAAGCTGCAAAAATGTCATTTGGGCAAAAAATTCTCAATATTTTTAGAATATTAACCGTAAGGGGACATTCATTAATTACATGAGGAATTTTTCTGATAATTTGGAACCCCCTCCCCCCATTTTTGTCTCACGTAATTAATGGATGTCCCCTAACTTAAAAATGTCTTGACATGAATTTACCATTTTTTCTACGCTCTTAAGAATTTTTGCCAAATATTACTATTATGTTGTACAATTATTATTTAAAGTTTAATAGAAAACGTTATATTATGCAAAATGATTATGGTAACTTAAAATTAAAAGAAAAACATTTATTTTCATATAATCCTATCAACTTCATATCAAAACACCATAATTTGTTCTCCTTAGTCACTGTGCGGCTCATTCGTGCATCTCCGCCAATTTTCGGCCCGGCTCGTCCCGGCAACCGATCCTCGCGCACTCGGTTGCAGAACGCCGATCGCGTAGTCTCTTTCAACTCAACCGATTTGTTGTTTTCCTTCCCCACGAACATTATTTGTTTATAACGGTGTGCCAAACCCCCGAAACGCGAACAAAATCAAACAATTTTGCTGGCAAACACCCGCGTGTTCAGTGCTGCTAACGGCAACAGTGTTGTTGGGTGCAAAGTGTGCTAAGTGTGTTGTTTAGTGCCAAGTGGATATATTTTTGTTATTTGCCATAGAAGTTGCTTCAACGGTGAATTTATAGAGCTGGTAAGTTAACGAAACCACACCTAAATTATTTTGTTGTCAAATATCTTTGTTCTGTGGAGAGCGAAGAGGAAAAAATATTGCGGTATCTCTTTCTCTCTCTTACACGGACTGAGGCTTCCCCGCCACGTTGCCAAATCTCCAAACAAAACATTACAGAATTTATTGTTGGCAATTTTATAGTTTTGGTTGACATTCCTAAAATATCCCAGAAATTGTTAGCTTTTTTGTAATTTATTTTTTAGTTTATCATTCTTAAATTTAACAAAAACATTCTTTAAATAGGTAACCATGTAAAATGGTAATTTTAACAATAAAATGAGTTTTGATTAACATTTTTAAAATTTGCAGAAAAAATGTTCATTTTTGTTTTAATTGCGTTTTTTGATTTTGTTTAACAGGAAAATGATTATTTCTGTTTTAATGGTAAAATGGTAATTTTAACAACAAAAATAGTTTTGGTACATTCTTAAAATTTGCAGAAATATGGGTATTTATTTTTTAATGACGTTTTTAGGAAAATTTTCTTATTTTTGCCCAAAAGACATTTTAATGCATGTTGCGGTTGACAATATTAAAATTATCCAGAAAAATTACATTTTTAAATAGTTAGTGCATTTACATTCTTTAAATTCAGAAGTTTTTGACCAAAAGATTAAAATCATTTACAAACATTTTCCTTCTCGTAGGCGGCCGTGCCCAATGTGGCAACGCCGCGATTCCGTCGCATTCGGCCGCATGCTCGCGGTACCTCCGTCCTTGTCTATCGCGTCGTTGACGTTTATTTGATGGCTGGGAAGCCATTTTGTGATAGCATCTGACTGAACAGCTCGTTGTTGTGTTTTATTATTTTTTTTGCGGGCCTGTCGGTTTGCATACGCATACACTCACACACGCACCACCGGCAAAGCCGACATTTTTAACAGCTTTGCGGGGGCACGATCGATTTTTTTTGCGATCCAGATTGAGTTGTTTATGCGATGTATCTAATGTATGATTTTTTTTTTAGTTTTTAACAAAATACTTTTCAATATTTTTTTAATTCATTTTTAAATGGGTACTACCTAACAAAGGCTTATTCATGATCACAAAATAAGAAATAAAAAAATAAGAAATAAGAAAAATGTTATACCTACCATTTATTTGCGGAAGGTGTAATCAAAGTGTTCTTTGGGTGTAATTAGAGACAGTCCGTTTTTTTGTTTTTTTTTCATTGTATTTTTTAAAATGGTTTTTATTTATATTTGAGGTTTTTTTCAAGATTATTCTTATTTGCCCAATTTTTTATGCTTCAAGTCCAGTTCATAGACTAAAATTTAGCCACCAAATGACATTTAGTAAACGTATGTACCTAAATAGTCTCGCGCTATGCAAGCGCTTGTTTTGATTTGGTCCTAAAAAAACTATATTTTTGATTCAGCGCTTGAATTTCCAAAAAGCTACCAAAAGCCCTTTTTTTCATGATTTTTCAAATTCATGAATATGGAATATGGAATTTTTTTTTCAAAAAAACAATATCAAATTCTTGTAGAACATGTATTCACGGATGTATTCACGTTTTTAAAACCCACCTTGAATTTTCTGTGCAATCTTTGGTTGCTGAGATATCGATGGTCAAAGACGAAATGATCCTTTTCCATTCAGTTCGAAAATTGAAGCTAAATAAACAAGTTATCCGGTCCTTATGGTCAGAACATTTTTTCCAAGTCTGTGAACCAAAAAGAAAAGCCAAAAAAATTTCGATTTTTTTTATTATGGTATTCGTTAGGATTGAGCGTTACACGTTGCTTTTTCATTTTTCATCTAAAAATCTCAAAACTAGACACTTCAAATTGCTTTTTTTACGGCTCCAATACACAAAGGTTAAAAATCCGAAAAATTTGGAATTTTTTTTATCGATTAATTTTTTCCTTAGTGTAGATGTTTTACATTGTTATTGGTCTCTGATGTAATAAGAAATCAGATTTTTAGTCTCGGTCAAAATTGTCAATAATGTAATAGGTATATTCTACATTTCACTTTATTATTAATATACATTTTATTTAAAATTTCATCTTGAAAAAATACTCAATTTTTTAAAATTGATGTTATTTATTGACAGAATATATAGAGCTATATAGAGCATATATGCTTTATTGTAGCAGATTTGAAAAAAAACGAAATTTTTTTTTACATCTGAAAAAACCGTCCTTTTATAAAAGTATACTTATATACTTCTCTAGGTGTAATGACGGCTGTATTTTAATTGTTATTGATGAAAATCATAGATGTTGCATTTTAATATGTCGATATGTTACGTCAATTTTTCAGTAACACAAAATACAATTATATTTTATTTTAGTGGGTTATTATGTATTCGAATTTAAAAAAACATCTTTCTCTAAAAGAATAATTACTTAAAATACCTACCTTTTATTAATAATATCGATGAACCATATAATTACAGCTGTATAAATTACAAACCAACCGCCGTTATCTAAAAAAACGTGAGCAAAAGATTTTTTTTTAAATTCGAATACGTTCATAAAGTATATGCAACACACTATACAAATCATAAAGAAAGGTAGCGCCATCGCTCGGGGACTTTTTAAACGAAAAAAGTTTTATATCGAACTTCGCATGGTGCCAAATTCAATATATATAAAACTTTTATTTTTAATATATATGCAAAATTGTAGTAAATTTTACTTATATATAGTTTTTCCTGCAAAATATTTTATATATCATACGAAATAATTATGGAACACATGGCGCCCCATAGGTTATGTAGGTATTGGCTATAAACGTAAACAATCGACAGCGACACTCAACGCGATCGCCAACACCATGGCCAAAACATAAAACCCATAAAACCACTTCACAGACCTATTTTGTCCTTTTGCGCAGTTTTATACGCAAAAATAAGAAACAAAGTTAAAACTTTTTTAACTTAAAAGTTATTTATCTTTAGTCTTATTTCTTATTTTTATGAACATAAACGCAACCATTACTTTACACAGTTTTAACTTTTTATCTAAACTATTTCTTACTCTTATTTCTTATTTTAAGTGAGCATGAATACGCCTTAAAAGTTTGCAGAAAAAATTTTAAATTAAAAAACTTTATTTTGTTGTAACATGTTAATTAACCTCTATTAATAGAGATTGGTTGTTTTCGTCTTGGTGACATTTTTTGAGTTTTGGTTAAAATTTTAAAATATAGGTACAGAAAAACTGGTTGAAAAGTTTCCAATGAAAACATTGAATAGGAATATTAATTATTGGGAAAGGGTTTTATCGTTTTATGTGAGATATGTAGGTACTTAAAATATAATAGGCTATTTCTGTTATTTTTGTTTTTTTTTGTAGAAAAAGATGGACCAGTTTTAGTTAACATCCCTAATGGTTAATTTTTACTTATAACATTTTTTAAGTTTTGGTTTACATTTCAACCGAGATTTCAACATTTACAGAAAAAATACCTACAGTTTAGAAAAATTTAATATTAATTCATGTTTTTGGGTTAAATTATAATTATTATTATTAATTATATAATTAAAATAACAACTAAACATAATTAAAAACCATTACCTACCTAGTTTTTGAGATACATATATGTGGGTAGTACCTCTATACATATACATATCTCAAAAACTTCTGGTCGAATTTTTTTACCTAAAATTATATCCCTAGCATTAGTGCGCCATTTTCGAGACATGCAGAAAAACTGGTTGGTTTAAAAAAAAAACATTTTTGATTCAATTTTTATTAAAAATGTTGACATTCTTAAAAATATATTTTTAAAAATGTATTTAAAGTTTATATATTTTTAAAAATGTATTTAAAGTTTCCTGCTATTATATATTATATTATATTATATATATATATATATTGTATATCAGGAAATTATTATAAAATAAAGAAGATTTCAATAAAATTATTCTTTGAAGTGCTACATTTTAACCTGTTTTTTTTATTTGTTTATAAAAATTTAAATTACCTAATTGTAAAACATTTATTATATTATGCCTTCATATTTTAAAAGACGATAAATCAAACAACCAAAATACCTAATAAAAAATATATTGAAAACAATGAATTATTCACTTTTATTACTTTTACAAAGTTTTAAAACATTATTTTTGTGAAAAATAAACTTTCTTTTTGTTTATATCGCGGATGCCACCAGCTGACAATGGCTTGTTGTAGTCAATAATGCTTAAAAAGTAATAAAAAGAACATGAACAAATAAACGAATGTTGTCACTAACAGATAAACCAATATAAACTTAATCGATTATAATAATGATTATATTTATTATGATAATTATAATTATCAGTAATTATGCACAAAATCTTCGATTTCTCATGAGCGCGAACAAAATAGGAATTTGGGTCCAAAAAAGGAGTTTTATTATTTAATTTTGTACCAAATAAGTACTGTTATTTAGAAATTAATGTCAAAAATAGTATACAGCAAAATCACCCTTACGTTTTTAAAATATACAAAATAGTTTTGTCCATTGAATTATTATTTTTGGTATTTTATTGTTTCAACCTTTACTTGATAAAATCATGTAAAATTATTTTTGGGAAATACCTTAAAAGTTTTAAGTTATTTATTAAATTTGTTAATTTTTATCTAAATAAAATTTTGAGTTTCAAAAACCCTTTTGACAAAAAGAAAATAAAATTAATAAATTATTTTTTCACCAAAGTTTTGTTAAAAATATAAAATGTATTATAGGCATATTCCCACGTTTAATTTTTGTTTTATACAAGTCATTAAGCATGGAAAATGTAATTAATTATATCCATTAGATCGTTCGCTAATGGATATCAGCTGTGTTTGTTGGAGCAATTAATAATAAATTTAATTAATGATTAATTTGTTAACATGAATTTCCTTTTTTAATGTTCATTTATAATTTGCTTTAAAAAGTATTAATTATAACAATGTTTTTTTTGGTGCATTTGAAATATTTGTATACGAATCAATAGTTTCTGATAAACCTTAGTATTTTAT